GTTCTGTTTCCTACACGACGTCCATTTACAAGAGTTCAGTGAGACATGTCTTGATGGAAAAATCGTGTTTTAGATAATACGTTGAACTTTACAGACAATGTGAGAATAACTTGAAGATTCCTGATGGAGTCAGTGCTTTACTTAAGGCTAGCTCATGAGAGAGCGAGCACTTAACAAACTGTGTGGCCAAGCCACTTCAAGCTTATATTGATTCAGTGAAAGATGAGAATTATGTTCCCCACAAAATTCATTGTCTGGAATAACATTAACAGAAGTCTCTACTTCTCTGTGTTTCATCGTTTCCAACTGTAAGTGCGTGAAATGGTTTTGGGTTTTATATTCTCTGCTCACCTCAGCTTCTAACTTTGATGCATCTAGAAACTGGAAAAAGCACTCATATTTGCATCCAACAGCTCTTTGCTAATTTGAAGTTGCATGAATTAAAATTTGTGGTGAATTAATGGCACAGAAGAGTGATAGAAGAAAAGGGACAAGTATCACAGATACAGAAAATGACAATTATTTATAATATTTTTTTCCAGAATTGTTACTGATTGTCTTCAGTCTATGGCACAGTGATGTTTTGAAAAAAATAAAGAGGAAGTTTGATTTGAATTTTGGAATTACAGTGAACCATTATACAATTTGTCAATGCTATTAAATAGAAGAATGCTAATAATAAAAACCTGAGCATACTTCTGAAGTATATCTGGTTAATATATGAGTAAATTAAATTGGGAAGAAAACATTTACTGGAAAAATAATCTGCATTAATACTGATTGGAATATGAGAGGAGAATTTTAGGGAAATTGGCCTAGAAGTCAAATCTCAATGTGGTGAATGGGAAGTGATGGGTTGTTGATACAGCATTGAACACCACAGCTGTTCCAGAGAGGACAGTGCAAACAGCGCTGAGAATTGCTCCTAAGTGAAGGCAGCTACATTCCCATTCCCATCTCGTCAGTAAAATTTAGGCACTTTAGATCAAAGAATAAGGTCTCTGCTCTCATTTATGGCAGAATGAGGAAATGCAAATGGAGAAAATTACTTAGAAAAGTACAACTTTAGCAGTCTTCAGAATTATACTTTTGTGGAAGAAAGTGAAATAAAAAAGAAGCAGCAGACATAGCTGGCAAACACATTAACTGGAGTTGAATATGCTCAGTATTTTGGAAAATTAATCTTAATAACTATTCACAGAGAATAATCTGTGTGGAATATCACTGTGAATTGACCAAAGTTAAACCCTTATTCTGGAAACAGTAAGACTTGTCCAAGCTTTTTGTTGAAAATAGATTTTTACCGTCATCATTTTGATACGAGACGACTGAATTGTTTTTTGCTGCGCTGTTTGTAGGGAAAGCTTGACAAGGCTGTTCCTCTGTATGAGCTAGCTGTTGAAATACGACAGAAGTCGTTTGGCCCCAAACACCCCAGTGTAGCAACAGCTTTGGTGAATCTGGCTGTTCTTTATTGTCAGATGGTAAGTTTGTCATGTCTGATGTGCTTAGCATTCCTGTGGTGGGCTTTTTTAATGACATGCACCTAATACCAAAGTAATGTAATTGCATTTATAAGGGAACTATATAGAACCTACAAATACTTACTTAGGTTTCATTTAAAAAAAAAAAAAAAAAGGAAGGATATTTGACAAGGGAAGTGTATGCAGGGGATGAATAATTGCTGAGTGGTGTTGTATGAGGACAATTGGGCTAATGCTTTGTAGATTATTCAAAATGCCCACATGCTTCATAGGACAATAGCAGAAGATGGCATTTCTAGCAGTGGCAGTCACTGTAGTATGATGAAGCACAGCTCCGCTGCTGACTCACTGGGTAACATAAGCTTTTGAAATCTGTGTCCATGAATGAAGACTGCCCATCTGCAGCAGCTGTGACACTGTGTAGCTAAAAATTTGAGAGCCTTTACAGCTGATTTACAATTAATATGAGATTTAAAGGAAATGTAATCATCTTATTACTGAATTCCTTAATTAGTGTCAATGGGAGCAAGCTGTTTCTTGTATTCTTTGTTTTTGCAATCTGCACATCAGTTTTAATCGGTGATTAAAGCTGCTTCAGCAAAATTAAAGAGCGTTTGGTAACTATATTGAGATTTCCAAGGCTGCCTAGGAGGACCATACCTGACTGGGAACTGGTCAGTGGGAATGGCATTTGCAAGTGAAAGCTTGTGGCTTTAACATTTTCAATTATCACCCTCATCTACCAGCAGTAGAACACAAAGCACCTTACTGGTTGTTGAATATGCATGAATTTCTACCCAGGATATGCTGCTACTATGTAAGGAAAAAAGCAGTAACAAAAGTAATACACTTTTATAACAAACAACTTTCTAATACCTAAAGAAAAAGCAGACTGAAGCTTTACCTCTTTATGAACGTGCATTAAAGATTTATGAAGACAGCTTTGGTCACATGCATCCTCGCGTGGGAGAAACTCTGAAGAACTTGGCTGTGCTCAGGTAAGATTATATGCTTTAGCCCTATAAAATCATGTTACTATAAAGGGTAGCAGATAAAAAAGAAACATACTGGACTTGTGTATTAGGAAAGTAGGGAGTCTTAATTACACTTGCTGATTGCATGGTGTGCATTTCAATGTGAACAAAGTGAGAGCCAAGTTTTATCTGTTTGTTTCATCTTTGTTTTACTCTTCTCCAAAGCTATGAAGGGGGAGATTTTGAGAAGGCAGCTGAACTTTACAAGAGAGCCATGGAAATAAAGGACGCAGAGACTTTGTTGATAGGTGGAAAAGCAGTTTCTCGACACTCATCAAGTGGAGACACATTCAGTTTAAAAAGTGCATTGTCACCAAACATTTTCCTGGAACCTGGACAAAGGTGATAGAGACCTGCTCAAAGAAAAGGTAGTTTCTATTGCTGTTTTGTTTTATATAAAATTATTAAGAAAACCTATTTTTCCTGGGTTAAATTACTACTTTGGAACTTAAGACTGTCTTCACGAATGACAGGAAAACATATTTAATCTTGAAATCCTTCCACGTTAACTTTGTGAACTGTGTGCTACAAAGTGAGTTTCTTCCATTGTATGCAGATATGTGTATAAGGTACTTGCTCAAGCTATAGTTAATGCCAAAAACATAGATTTAATACCTCTTAGCTTAAGTGCCAGGATTATAACAAGATAAACTGAACCAATGGGATATATTTTATATGGTAGTTCTTACTTCTGTGTTGTAACAGCCTGGCTTAGTGCATTTGTGTATTTTTGTTTCATCAACCTTCTTGACCTCTTCAGAAGCTTGTAAAATTGTTTCTAAAGCAATAAAAGTTTTGAAAAAGCACAATATTGTTTTACCCAAAGTTTTACCTTCGAGGTAATTTCATCTTTAAGCAAACTTAGTGTACAATTAATGAATATAAGATGCTATGCTATAACAGAGAGCTTGGCTACCATGTTGTTACAACAAAGCAGGAAATAGAAATGATAGATACACTCACCCCTAGCCTGGGCTCACATGAGAAACTCCGGTGGAGCGGATCTCCAGAAAGAGACCTTCCCCATGGCAGTCAGCTCTTAAATGGGTCTAGGAGAGGTGCAGCCAGGCTCCACCCCTTCCATCACTCAGCTGAATCGCCTTCACCTGTGCTCCATGGCTGACTCAGTGCTCGCCTCAGGTGATCAATCAGAGGCTCAGGCCCTGATGCAGCAGTCCCCATACACTCAGATTCAAGAGACTTCTTCAAAAATAATTGGTTTCCTTGGGAAACAAATGTATCTGAAGGTATCACTGTATACAAGTAAATCTCTTGTCACATTCAACAACTGTAGTTGTTCAGTGAAAACGCTTCCAGTGAGGAATCTGAATGAAAAGGAGTATGATATGATGCCTTATTGTTAAACCTTTAAATAGACTTCCATTTTTTAATCTCATTGAATCCTTTGCAATCCAACAATGCTTGTGTAAGCTACTGATACAAAATATTTTGCCATCCAATAAAAAGATGCTAATTAAATCTACCTGCTATATTTTCTTTTAATTTCTTAGTCACTCAGAAGAAGTATTTCCCAGTCTGTTTTTATTCAGTGCATGTTAATTTTTCCACTTGCAGAGTCAATTTTTCCCAGTTTGGAATTGAGTTAAAAGGGATTGCTCTTTTAGAAAGGTTTTCATAGCTTGGTATATTGGGCAAAAGGAAGTGTGTATGAAACTGGCATGCAATGAATAAACATGCAAGCCAGTATGTTAAGGCTTAGTTGAAAAAGTATTAAAAAGTAGCTCTTGAATTTCAGACAAGGTACCAGTAAGTGTTGATCCTTTGTAACAGCACTCTGGTCGTTTTTCTCTTTAGAAAAAGGCTTTTTAATCAGAGGAAGTTTTTCCTCTATATTCCAGCCACCTTAGAGACTCATGTTTGCAGGATTGCTACAAAGCAAGAAGAAAAAGAAATCTCCTCTCCACCCTTCTGAACTTCTATTTGTTTCTGTTGCCTACTGTTCTAAGGTGTGATGATACCCTTCTTTAAAGCCCATAGCATGAATTAACAATGTCTGAGCTACCTGTTAACTGTTCTGATTTTAATATGCAAGTGAAATAACTTGCTCTCAGTTTCCTTAGCACTTCTAGTTAAATAGGAAACTGCTTTGTAGACCTCCCCTGCCTAATCAAACTTTCCTCACTTAATGATTTCTAGTTCTGAATTATTACTGTTCTTCCTTTGAGTGACTTCCCTCCCTGTTTCTTCATCAGTCACACAGCTGCTTTTGGAGGAAAAAAGTAAGGCCCCAGAAATAACAGATCTTGACCATCCATGGTCCAGTTAGCAAAGGTAGTGAAGAAATAGTAAGCATTTATCAACCCAAAGAAAAACGTTAACAGAAAGTGTAATGGGACTATGATTAATAGTGGAGAGTCTTGTAGGCACTGAGTTGGCCATAAGCTTTGTAGCTATGGTCAAAATATTCTTAAGACAGTTTTGCATTGAAAAAATAAACAAACCTAAGCAAGCTATAGACCAGTATAAGCCAAATTTTGAATTTTATTTAATAGTTTTATAGAGAGTTCCACCTCAGAAAAGAAAGTCTTCAGTTTCAGTGGAGATTTAATCACATGGACAGAATATCAACATTTCAGTAACATTCATGACACACAGTAAAAACAGAGATCTTTGTTTATAGGACTGCCAACAAACAAAGCCAAACTAAAACGGTGCAATATGTTTAATTTGTTATTTCATAGCAAAAGAAGTAGTAGATTTTTCCACTAGGTTTTATGGTTGGAATATATTATACTTGTAAATGTCTTTTTTTAACTGGAAAAAAGATTCTTAAAGCTGCTTTTTGTTTCTGTCCTGATGCTGTTTACTTTTAAATCATTTTAACTATTTAAACAGTCTTCTCCAAATGTTTTCCAACTGTTCCAGTATATGCTGCTGACCATCTGAAAGTAACACAGAAGCATTTGCACACTTTGAGAGCGCACAGACAGAAAGGTACGAATTTGCTCAAAGAACTACATATGCAGGACAGTGGTAAACAGTTACCTCCCATAAAGCTGTCAATCATGTGTCAGCAGTCCTGTCAGTCAAATAGCTAAGAGTCCAGTTTAACTGAACTTGTAGAAATGAGAGAACCGTTTTCCTCAATCTCCTGAGTTGTGTAGGCTTCACTTTTACTGTTCCCAAGAGAAAGGTAAAGTATCTCACAAAGGAATGTGACACAAATTAACACATAGACTATGCTAACACAGACTCAGTGACACTGATTCAGGTATGTACCTTTTTTTATGATCTCCATATTTCCCTTTCCTCTTTACACTTGATTTCTTAAAACGTTTTCTCCAAAACTGAACTCAATCTAAAACCATCTTCCATTTTACAAAACAACGCACCTCTCCCTCAGAAAACAAACAAACAACTTCCAATGTGATTTTTGTATAAATAATATAGTCTCATGTTAACTGTGGAGAGAACACATTTTGAAGCTCGCAATCATTCCTCTGAAATCAGAAACAACTTCTTACACAAGCTACCCTAAGAGACAGAAGCACTTCCATAATATTACTCTCTTTTTACCTGCTGCTCGGATATGGCTGCTAATGCATACTGGCAGTATTTTAACTGCACTGTGCTGCAGAATTATTTTTGGAGAGCCGAAGTTAGAAATATTTTCATTACAGTAGATGCTCCAATTTATGTTCTTCTAAGCCAAATCTAAGTAGTAGTGAAGTTCTGGATCAGACACCCCTAGTTGAAATACCTGAAATTGGTACTTCCAGGTTTGTAGGTACTGGCACTACGTAATGTGTATGTTTACAAGTCAGTTCAACACAGGATCATTTAAAAGTAAATACCTCTGCCTTAACATTATATGCAGGACAACTACAATAGCTCAGCCATTCAACTTAGGTATTTGCAACACTAAACCTTTAGAGCATCTCATTTTAGAAGCCTTCCTATACAAACATTAAGTACATTAAATAGCCCATATGATGGGGATAGTTTAGAAACCAGTTAAAACAGTTTGATTTTCAGAGGGAGAAAATCTCCTGTGCATCCCAGAGTTACTGTTGATCTTATGGATTTTGCCATGGAAAGCACCCACCTGCTGAAGTGATGGCATGCCAATAGGCAGCCTGCCAGCCTAATTACCTGCTAATAAAAGCTCCTGCATCTCTTCATACTCAAAGCATTATCACATACAGGCAGCTAATTATGAATAAGCAGTAGTAAAAAATGAAAAAAACCACACAAGTTAAATATCCATATATATCCATACCAGGAATATTTAAGGCTGATGAAAAGGCTGAAATGTTACGTTTACTCACTGAAAATACAGACAACATAATTCATGCCAGGACTTTAAACAGAGTCCAGTGAACAACCTAGTTCAAGTCCAAGGAATAAAAGAAGCAGTAATGAGGGGGGCACTGTCAGCTGCCCTTGACCTATTCTATCTGTTCCAGTCAGCAGATTTCATCTTTCATTTGTCCCATGCTATATTTTCATAACCTGATATTGCATATCATGTGCTATGCATACATTTTTTTATTATTTCATCTATCTTTTTTAATTTTCCATTGATTATCTGGACCCCAGAACGCTGAAAAATTCAAACTTACAGTAGTGCAACTCTGTATGTTAAAACCATGAAAAGACAATGAAATATAAACAAGGATAAGTCTGTCTACTTCCCCCCTATATAACAGTTCAATTTCATTAGATATGTAAAGATAAGCTTCAGTGGAGGGAAGAAAAGTCTACTCAAAATCTGATGTCAATCCAAACTTCTATACTTGTCCTTAGTATCTGTTTTGCTACAAGTTCCGCATTTTGGCCATGAGATCTTCCAGGCTTTCTTCAGACTCAGCCACTGTTTCCTCAGCTGTCAGATTCTCTTCCTGGTAGTAAAAGGAAGAAAAGGTCAGCAACAGAAGCAGCACACTAAATCATCTCCACAACCAAGCTTTACTGCAGATACGTCACACTTTCCCAGAACCAAGCACTCCATTACAAGATAAGGCTCAACTCAGCACACTTTGCAAACTCTGTTCTGACTGAAGTTTGAAAGTTCTGCTTGCAAAACACACATTCTGTGTTCCCCAAATATACCAACTGCACTTTGACAAAGATAAAGATGGTAAAAATATCACTCACAAAAAGAGCAGTTGAGAAATTCACATTTCTTTTCCTTCCCACCCCAAGAAATACATTCACTCCTATCATTTCAAAACTGCATTCACACTAACATTCATATTTAAGGGAATATATGTCATGAAAACACAGAACCATAGGAGACACCAGCTGAATGTACTGAGCTTCAGTTCTACTGGACTTGTTTAAGATGATATTTTAAGGTTTGAAGGGTAACCAAAGTAGCTAATTTTATACATATAATCTATAAGATTTACTTAAAAAAAAAAAAAAAATAGTGTCATTGTAAATAATAAATATATTACCTTGTTTGGGATAGTATATGCTACAGTAATTCCAACAGGAAGATCAGGTACTGGACCAGAAGCAGCTTTCAGCTCATCTTCTGTAGTTTCTGATACTAATTCGATGCCTTTGCATTAAAAGGAATAGAGAACTCCATTAAGAGAGTCCTTTAATCACTACATTATAGCAAGAACAAAATTGCAGCTAATTTTCTGAAATAGAAAAAAAATTTAAAGCAGAAAGAGCTTCAATTTCAACAACTTCATTAACAATACTGCGATTTCCCTTTACAATATATTAAATGCTTCCAGATATGTAACTTTCAGATAAGAACAACCAAGCATATTATTTAAACATTACTAAGCTTTTGAACCTAAAACATGCTCATTATGATAAAACTATATCAAATTGTTTTAGTATTTCTGTCAAAACCTGTGACAAACCAGCAGCAATTACACAATGTAAGTTAGAAACAATAGGATGCATGAGAAGTCCATGCTCCCTCATCCACAACAAACAATTAAAATGCTGTTCCCAGTATCATGCTTCACTTAGTCATCAGCTGATTACTTACCCCAGTCATTGTCTTCATGCACTATTTCTTCTTCCTGATCAATTTCTTCTTGTTTTGGTTGTGCAGCTTCTTTTATCTGAAGGAAAAAAATTTAAAAGATTTAAAAATTTAAGGTATATATAGCAGTTCAATTTTCAACAGCGAGGAAGATCAAATCTAGTATTTGTGCTTGTTTTAAGGTACACAGTTCACTGTTTTGAACTTTGTTAGGCATAAAAAGGCAGAACACCTGCAAATTTTAAAACGTCCATTAACACTCAGTAATATGACTGCCAGAAAGGCTGAGCACGTTCATAGATCACAGAATGATTTGGGCTAGGAAGAACCTTGAAGACCATCTGATTCCAACCTCCTGCTGTGGGCAGTGACACCTGCCATCAGACCAGGATGTCCAGAGCCCCTTCCAGCCTGACTTTCAGCATCCTTAGTTTCTTAGCATCTGTAAGTTCTCCCCAGAGCCTTCCCTTCTCCAGGCTGAACAACCCCAATTTTACCTTATAATTTTCTTGCTGTTTCCTGCAATTTTGATCACTACATTGTGGATTTGGCTTCATAGCCATAGTTGGAAAGAAATCCTGCATCGCATTGTAGCCAAGATAGTAACTCACAGTACCAAAATTTAAAAGATACCTGATAAAAGATAACACAGACAGAGAAAGCAGGTCTTTATACACAAGTACAAACCTGACAAAGAACTTTTAGAATACTCTTTCATACCAGTGTTAAAGGCTGGTACTTTGTTGTGCATGAGCTACTGTCTCAGAAAAAAATGTGTTTAGAATAATAGGTAGGCAGTTTTCCCCTGTGCCCTAATTCATTGCTTAAAACACACAGGTGCCATGTATTTCAAAGGGAGAATTTTCAGCAGGAACCAGAAGCAGTTAATCATCTTTACTTAAGGCCATGCCTGTGATGAGAACAGAGATTTAAATTAAGAAGCAATATTTGCATCCTTCATTAAAGAATAACACGTGTTGGTATACAGTTTTTTACAATACCTCTCACTGTGCAGCTGAAAAATGGATCTTCATTGTTTGCAGGAATAATTGCAAACATTTTTTATTCTTCATAACTAGAATTTTCTGGACAACTGATAAAGGCAAGATAAGGCTAAAAGTTGTCTAAATGAAGTCTTATTTTCAAAGTATAAATGTGATTAAAGACTAAAATTTCAATAATATCAAGTTTCAAAAATATTTGCATGGAGTAACAGAAATTCTTGGGGAAAAAATGAAGACTTTTCCTTGCCCCGAGATGTTACATTAAAGAGAGCAGCTACAAAATAAAGACACCAGCAATTCAAGCAGTGTGTATCCCAGCCCTGTCTGATGATGCCAGTACCTTCAGTAAATAAGTCATAAATTTAGAAAAAGAACCAAATTCATCATTACCCAAGAAACCTGAAGGAACTGCTCTCTTATGGTGCTGCTGTACATTGCCTAGCAGCAACTCAAGCACTTACTTCAGAACATTCTGTACGAGAATTCCAGCCACAACACCCATGGTTGTGGGAAGACTAGCTGCACAAACTCCTTCTCGTTTTAATGTTTTCTCATCAATATTTGCAGCAACCACAAGTGGAGGAGCACACTGAGGGGAAATGAAGAAATACAGTTTAAGCAAAATGCATTAAGGAAAAAAACAAAAACAAAACCCAACGAAAACAAACCAACAGCCACGTCTCACACGTAATTTTAAGCTACTCCATTATCTGTGCTAGGATTACATTCACTAGACAGCTGATCTTCATACTGCCGGTCCCATTTCAAAAGACAGGAACCAGCAATTCCTCTGAGCACCACATACCGCAAAACAAGCGGATTCACCAGGAATGATCAGCTGGATGTGTCCTGACACTGCATTTTCACTCACTCCAGACTCCATCCAGATTTGTCCAAGCTCATTGCAGGCCTTAGAAACACAGAAACATACGCATCAGTACTGCAGAAGTTTAATGGAAAAAAAAAAAAAGAAGTTGTGAATTAAGAAGGATTAAACGTACTGACTCTCGTGCTTTAACACAGAAAGGCTATTTCAGAAAGAAGAACATGAAAAAGTAAAATAGAAACTGTTCATGAGAGTCAAAGGACAGATCAAAGGATAGACTAAATTTCTTCTCATGAAGCTGTGCCTTTGTGAGTTCCTGAGGACCTCTGTGCTTTGAACAACTACATGCCTTAGTGATGCAGTTACTACAGACCCCACTACAGGATCTAATTGCAAAAACTACTTATAGAGTGTTTTTTTTCCTATGCTTTGAGGCACAGATCCAGAGTATCTGTGTACACTCAGTGCATACAATCTGCAGATTAAGCTCACTGTAGGATAACAGAAACCATGCATTTAGCATTCACCCTGCATTGATTGCTAACTATAAAGCAAAACAGGATGACTCGGTGTACAGCTTTAAGACATTTTTAGTATGCAGAAACCTGTATACAATTCGATACATGAAATTAGAAAGTTTGTTAAGATTTAACCTACAAAGACTTAACAGTACCTTTCCTTAAACAAGGTAATTTGGAAATACAGAAAGCACTTACAACAACAATTCTTCTACTAACCATAAGCTGCTAGTAATTTAAAAGACTTTGCTTATATTTACATAAAGTATGTGTTATAAGAGCTGGGTAAAATATCAGATTCTGTTTCCTTAAATTGAGGAGGAACTTTCTTGGAAGATTCTTGAAGTCCCCGTCTTTTCTGCAGTCCCCACAATTCCTATTAGTACTTATAAAAGAAAACTGACCTTCATGAACTCATGCCTGTGGTCTTACCGTGTTAATTGCCATGCGAGCTTCAAAGTTGTCCACACAGCTTAGAACAAGATCAACAGGCTTCCCTTCCTCTAGTGCACCATTACTGAAACAAGTATCAGAAGCATGCATGAAACTGCTGGCAGAACGTAACACCAGCATAGCAATCAATGTATTTCTTTAAAGTACAGAGGCACAGGGGAAGTATACTTATAACCAAACTTGGGCAAACACAAGGTACAACTAGCAGCTCAATTGCAGTAGGAATAGCAGCACACTGAAGCTGGAACTTAAATATAGGGCCATTTTATATTAATATAATTTTTATATAGTATACACTCAAAATATATCAGGAAAAACTGTATCTATTACAATATATATTTTACCTTATTCTATCCATGAAATGTTCAAAATTGTCCAGTGTGGTGATGTTGTAGTTGTGTACTTCAAATTGCACATCAGGATTAATATTTCTTAATGAGAAAATAAAATGAGGCAATGTTAATGAAGATGGTAACTGGCATTTCATTCCCTAACTCTACAAGTACTGCTATAGTCTTCAGCTTCCATTCTGAAGGCTAAAAGGCAGCATAATTACAAAAATGTAGAAATTAGATGAAGAGACCCTCCCTCCACCCTCAAACAAAAGGAAACAAACCACCTAGATATTGAAATGTAATAATTTATATTAAACTTCTGAGCAAAATTAGCTATGTGCAGAAAGATTCACTTTTAAGGTTCTGGGAAGGACAAAAATGTCCCTAAAATATCAGCCATTCCCCCAGCTGCTTCATTCTCAAATTTCCACACTAAACCATGCTGCTTTGTAAGCAATTAAGCGTGAAACATTGGTTTGCTGTAGTGGCATCCTGGATAGATACCATTAGATATCCACTTCTCTAAGTCGTACCTCAAGGTATGCTCTGCTGCTTGCACTTTACTTAATCCAGCTTGATGAGGTTGGAAGAAGAGTCTGTTCATGTTTGCCAGTTCCACTTTGTCATAATCAAACAGAAGAAGCTACAATAGAGATTGTATTATGTGATCCTCCAAACAAAGCAGTACATAGAGCTCCAGAACAGGCCATTTTAAACAGCTGCTGTTTAAATACACAAATAGGCAATCTGTGTGGTTCTAAACTAAATACATTTGAAAGATTAGAGAGATTATTTACATGAACCCTATCAACTCTGTTCTCACTTTCCTACTTGCCATTCTAGCATTAACTAGACTGTGTCAGTTCTTTTACTTGTGTCTTGGCATGTAGTTCTTCATGAACAATTAACTTCAAGTGCCTACAGAATACTCATATGTTGACTGATAGGAATTTTGAATCAATAAATTATTGAACACAAGAAACATCCTTTCTAGGTACAGGATGCTGGTCTATCAGAATTGCTCCTGTAGAGAAAGGAGGAATATGCTTTGTAATGAAAAAACTTGCATCAGCTCTGTATTAAGAAGATTCTTAACTTCCAAGAGTAAATGGAGAGGTTTTGCCTGCAATTATGAACACCCAAGCCATTCCCCAAATTCCTCCTTTTAAAGAACAGGCTGTTAACTCTATAGCTTCTCACTATCTATACTCACATCAGTTATTTTTAACTGCTGCTACATGTTTAGCTGTATCACATGAAAAAATAATTTTTGTGGGTAAAAATACATTCAACATCTGATGCGGTTCAATTTCTTGAGCATTTACTTATTCTCATAGGCTTTAATGTTCTATGTGAGCTATACCCCCTTCTTTTCCTTTGTTCTGTTTTCCTCTTGCAATAACCTGGTGTGATATTAGACAGATGGACTCACATGAGAGTGCAGAGCACACAGAGAGTTCATGTGATGCAGGGCTACTGACCTAAACAAACGTTATTAGTGTTAAGAAAAATGCAGACTTAAGATCCTTCACTTATTTTATTTCAACGCCGTTCACGAGTGCTTTCTTCACAGCACTTCTACTCGGGCAAAACCAAGGGAGGAATACCAACTCTAACTTTTAATGACGCGGACCAGTCTATGAAGAAGTACAAGAAAACTCACATTACCTTACCAATGCCACACCTTGTCAACATCTCAGCAGTCACACTGCCAACTCCCCCCACGCCTACTATCGCAACTGTGAAAGTACGGATTTTCTGCAGGAAGAAATAATGCACAAATCAGTGCATCGCCACTGTGGAGCCAGGGGAGAGGTGGAAACACACAGCTGTCTTCGCGCAGACACACGCTTACCTCATAATCTTTGACAATTCCCATTCTTTTTAACGCCATCAAGCGACTGCAAAGAAAAGCAGCATCATTATAAACAAGATGTTTTTTATATTTCTCGCGGAAACTTTGCTTTTCAGATATTCTCATCACCCTCATTCCTTCCCTCCCTCTGCAGCCCGTTCCCACCTGTAGGGATTGGAATCCGTCACCTCGGGGCTCATGGTCTCGATGCGGCTCCTCGCCGCCGCCCGCCCGCCCCGCACCACCTCCAGCTCCCGCTCCAGCTCCCGCACGCGGCGCTGCAGCAGCTCCACCTGCCCTCCCTCCGCCATGGCAGCGACACGTCTGTTCTCGGCAGCGGCTTCCTGGAACGCCGCGGACCCGTCCGCCGCTCCCGCCACCTCAGCGAGCGTTCCCGTGGCGGGCCGGGCGTCCGCCGCGCGGCAGCAAACGCGCTCCGACGGGCCGAGAGCACGAATCAGCCTCGCCAGTCCCGCGCGGCACCGAAACCGCGCCCTGCGAGCCGCTTTCCTCCGGGAAAACCCGGCCGGCACCGAGAGCCACGGCACGGAGGACCGCTTTCGGTGATGGACCAGGCAGCCTCCCGTTGTCGCGGCAACCCCGGAAAGGGCGGCTCCGTAAGAAGCGTAGCGTCTCAGTGGGCGGGCGCGAGGTAGGTGCGCAAAGGGCGTATCGCTTGCGGCGGGTGGATCCGCGAGAAGGGTAGCGCCGCCGAGGGCGGGTGTGCGACCGCTGCGCGGGGACCGTATCGCTGCGGTGGGTGGCTGCATAGAGGGCGTAGCGCTGCCCCTGTCGGCACGGCGCGGGGATGTCTGTGGAGCCGGGCACCAGCGAGGTGCGGCGGCAGCACCGCTTCGATCAGGGCGGCCTGGATCGGTACCTGTGCCGCCGCCTGCCCGGCTTCCCCCAGCAGCCCGCGGGGGCTCTGTCCGTCAGGCAGTACAGGTGAGGAGGCTGTTCGCAGGCCTTCAGCGGCCGTGCTGGGGAGGGCGGCCTGCAGCCGACCGTGTGCTGGGCCACCTCGGCAGTTCGCTTCGGGAAGGCCGAGTTAGCTGCGGGGACCTTTCACACACATGGATCGGTCGCCGCAGCCCAGCAGTGTTGGCGGACTTTTGTCAGAGTTCAGGGAACGCGTCGAGAATCTGCTCTTCAAACGCTCGACAGATAAAAATGCTCAGCAATGTATTAGAGGCATAATAACAGGAATCACGGAATGGTTTGGGTCGGAAGAGACCTTTAAGATCATCTAGTTCTGACTCCCTTCTGTAGGCAGGGACACCTCCCTCTGATCCAGGTTGCTCACAGCCCCATCCAACCTGGCCTTGAATCTTCCATGGAGGGGGCATCCACAGCCTCTGTTCCAGTGTCTCACCACCCACACAGTAAAGAATTTCTTCCTAATATCTAGTCTAAATCTACCGTCCTCCATTTTAAAGCCGTTTCCCCTTGTCCTGTTGCTACACACCCTTATAAAAAGTCCCTCTCCAAAGGGAGGGAAATGTCCTGAGGAGCATGAAGAGAAATGCCTGCTTGATTTTGGTGTTCCAATATTTGTGCAGTCTTCAAATGAACTAAGAATAGGTCTTAAAAACAGTAAAGAATGAGGAGAGAATAGCATGTAGGTGAGCTCAGGTCCTTGAGGAAGGTAGTGATGAGTGAGTTTGATTGAGCTATGATGGGCAGTGTGTCAGGATGGGTTTAAGTAAGCTTTTACATAAATATGTGGAGAAGCATGTAATTCTTAGGATTCTTTGTCACTGCGACATTTATTCTTTAAAACATAATAGTTGCTATAGGCAGTCCCCTAAGAATAGCTTATGTATCCAAATAGATGGCCAGGCCTGAACACAAGGGGGTTTGGTGCTGGAATTCATCAGTGGTTTAAAGAGCTTTTTCTCAGCTTACATTGTTTAAAATACAGCTCACCGAAGAAAAATAGTTGTGGGCTAGTGTGAATTTTGCCTGAAAACTCGATCATTTAATGATGTCTCTTTAGGGTGAAGAGGTGAATACTATCCCCATTTCACAGAACAAATTATCTTTGACTACTCTGCAGCAAAGAGATATTTTCATATTAAGTGTAGCAATACAGCCTATGGCTTCTGATTTTGTAGGCTATCACTTGCATCTTTGTAAGACTATATTTGAAACAAAACTTGAGGAAAAAACTCTTTTCTGTGTCTTGCCATTTTGTTCAGGCCTTGTCATGGTGAACTTTGCACCATTTCCATTAAGTTTGCAAATTTGCATCTACGTTGCAAGTAATTACAGTCTTTCTCTTTGTAGCTCAGGACAGTCAAATCCAACCTTTTATCTTCAGAAGGATGGGCGGGCCTATGTGCTCAGGAAGAAGCCCCATGGCCCCCTTTTGCCTAGAGCCCACAAGGTAGGTAACACTCCTCAGCAAGCTCCAAACACTTTGTATTGCAGGTGGACTAAGTTCTTGTACAAGGTAATGCAGCCTTTTTCAGTTGAAGGTGTCTAAAAGTGCAGTGAATTACTTGAATCATTTCCAGTTTTCTATGCTGTACACTTGATTAAACATTAAAGAGGGTAGATTGTCATTAACTGTACTCAGTAAGATGATTTATGTTTAGGAGCTTTTCACTGAACCTTATTTTCTGTGTCTTCTTCAGGTTGATAGAGAATATCGTGTGCAGAAAGCCTTATTTTCAGCTGGATTTCCAGTCCCTGAACCCCTGCTGTACTGCAGTGATGTTTCTGTCATTGGAACAGAGTTTTATGTGATGCAGCATGTGCAGGTTGGTCAGCCAATCTGAGAGATTTTTCTTCTCCCTACTATAAGCAGATTTTAAGCTGTCTAGAACTTACTAGTCTTATTCAGCTTTTACTAAACTTTGAAGTTTGGTACATGCAGCTATGTATTAAGGCATACCAATATAATTAATCCAATCATATTTTTGAGAAGTATTAACTATCAGAGATTCTTACTGATTTCAGGTTCTCCAGAGCTTGTTTCCAGCTCTGCCAAAATATACAGTTCATTATTTACATCTTCTCCTTTATGCTGTCAGATGAATGTTGTGAAATGTCTTCATATTGCTGAAAAGGGTACTCATAACTCAGCCATAACAGTCAGGCTCCAAAGTTATTCTGGATTCTTGGAACAAATGGAACCCATTTGTTACTGATAACAGTAATCTATGTACAGTCATGTTTTCCTTTAAAAGCAAGCAGGATTCCATCTCAACCATGACTTTGAGAAAGAACATAGCATAGCTGTGCCGTCCATCACTCTAATCATGCTGTGGCTGAGTTGATATTGTTTCTGTTGGACTTGGTTGATTCTGAGTTTAAGTCTGCTGGTACTGTTTTTTTATTCTCATGGGAGGAAGATTTGAGTTTAGGCCTCTTTCATAATATCCTCTTCTATGAGGCTGTGCTTGTTTGGCAAGTTGTGATGTGTGCCAACACATAGTGCAGGGTTTCGTGAAATTCAGACTGTATGGAGAGCTGAAGCCCTGAAAAATACGGCTGTGAAAATATCCAGTTGTCTCTTGAGTGTTCTGGGATACTTAATTATAGTCTGAAATTTGGGATCTGAGGAAGAGCATTCAAACAATTTCAGATTGTATAAAACAACAGCACATGCAAAAAAAGAAAAGAGAGTGGGAAGATCATGGGCTGTGAGATAAGCGAATTTAATGTATTAACTGAAGGGTATGAAGAAAAAAAACACTGAGTTATACCCTTCATCTATCATGGGCAAAGAATAAGACAAGTGAGGAAGGAATTTTTTATTGTACAGGGAATACGGGTTCACTGCATTTGTTTTAGCTGCTGAAACATCTACCTTTACGTCTCTTTGTCTATGCCTGCATCCCACCAAGTATCTGATTTGCAATGTTTCCAGGGTCGCATCTTCCGAGACCTCTCGCTGCCTGAGGTGGGCCCAGCAGAGCGTTCTGCTTTGTATCTCGCAATGATAGAAGCTTTGGCTCAGTTGCACTCCTTTGACTTGCGGTCACTGGGTCTCCAAGGATATGGCAGAGGACCAGGATACTGCAGAAGACAGGTACAGCTCTTGGAATAATTCTCTCGTTTTGTCAGGTCTTTAATATTTTGTTCGCAAGCTGATTTGTTAAACTTAGATTACGTGTAAAAGTAACCATCGTATTTTAGCGATTCAACATCTTCAGATGGTTAAGTACCAGGGCACGGTATGAAGTTACTGCTATGTTCCAAGTAAATTCTGTAATGCTATTAAAGTGTTTGTATTTTTTCAGGTATCAACTTGGAAAAAGCAATATGATGCAGCTGCTCATACGGATATTCCTGCCATGAATGAGCTAGCCGAGTGGTTAGCAAACAACTTACCACCTGATGATGATGAAGAAGCCCTAATTCATGGGGACTTTAGAATAGATAACATCATTTTTCACCCAACGGAGGTATTTGAAATGTATTTGTACATTTTGTGCTTTGTTCTCCATTACTGACTCTTTACAGGGTAGATAATGGCATGACAAGGGGAAATGGTTTTAAGTTGAATGAGGGAAGATTTAGGTTGGATGTCAGGGGGAAGATCCTTACAGAGAGAGTGGTGAGGTGCTGGAACAGCTGCCCAGAGAGGTTGTGGATGCCCCGTCCCTGGAGGTGTTTAAGACCAGGCTGGATGGGACCCTGGGCAGCCTGGTCTAGTATTAGATGTGGAGGTCGGTGGCCCTGAATGCAGCACAGGGGTTGGAGCTTCGTGTTCCTTGAGGTCACTTCCAACCCAAGCCATTCTATGATTTTGTTGTTTGTACATGTTATGGGGCATTCCCAAGGATGTTCTAGTCATGGTTTGCTCTGTGTCGCTGTACTATCAGTATGGGGTCTGTTTTTGATGTTTGGTTATGAGCAGGAGCAAAGGATCTGTATTTTCCTTAGCATTAAAATAGTTGCAGTAATATACTTCTGCTTACTTTTCTCGTAGAACTGCTGGGATGTGAAATGATAAGAATTTTTTTTTACAAAATGTATAGAATTTAACTTACAGTTGGAATTATAAAGATGGAATTTGAGTTTGCGCTGCAGTGATGGTTGTAGTGTGGCTGGATATCAGAGTTGTGGCTGTGTGCAGACTCGGTCCGCTTTGTCATCTGTTCCCTGGGCAGCCCAGAAGTCTCACAAGAGGTTGCCTTGACACAGGGAGACTGAATTTCTGACCCCCTTCATGGAAAAGCCACAGATCACACAGATTCACATCTGTGCGTAGATCAGCAGATAGATGCTGGTTGGTTCTTTTGACTAGAACAGTTTAGAATTCTCTGACAGAAGAAGTATTACTCAAAAATGTATAATTTGA